TTTTAAATAATTATACAAATGTGATGATTTTTTTGTTTTGTTTTAATCTGTCCCTTCCTATTTTACTCGTTGTTTTCTCGTCGTCCGGGGGGCGTGTGGGTGGTGTTTTGTTTTTGTTTGGGGGGCCCCTGTTTTTTTCCCCGCGGGGGGGGGGGGGGGGGGGGGGGGGGGGGTGAGATGCTAGACCAATATTTGTGTATGGGTTTGAAACACTCATTCTCTCTTGGTTTGAAACCCTGACCCTCTTTAAGAAATAAAATAATCCTGAAATACATGCTCTGTTTGACAACACCTTCAATTTTATTACCCTTTTTAGGAGAAAGGGGAAAATGCACGCTGTCTTGTTTTAAATTCATTCATAAGTCATGATTACATTGTCTTGAGCAAATGAAATCTATCCTGCTGGCAATACCCCTTTTATAATTAGCACGAAATTATACACTCTGTTTAGGACACGGTAAATATGTTTTTTTCAAGGGTGTGGTGGACCGAGTTACCCTTCATGAAGGTCCGAGATCATACGAACGTGAAGAAAGAAAGCCTTTTATCCAGCACACACATCTACTTTTATTTTTTGTTTACAATAATATGACATATTTAAGCCATACTTGATCATTCCTGATTTATCGTAAGCGAATTTTAACTATCACAGGAAATTTATTAACAGAAGTTTATCTAGAGCGAAAAAGAAAGATGATCTCTTGCTATTGCTAACAACAAAAAAAGATACAACACTCCGACCATACCATGCAAAAATACAAATCAAGGTAACGTCTTTTTTCAGGTAACTGAGAACTGTTTAAGTTGGCAGCCTATCTAACAAAAGCTTGTCCAGCGTGCCCAGTTGCTTTGATGGCCGATAATCGCTAGCCACTGAGGGCGTGCAAAATTTTATTCCAGATCAGTTTTCTGTTTATTTTAACTTGTCATTTTAGAGCATCCAAACAAGGACAAACAAGGAACTGTTGGCAAAAATTATCAAACCGGATTTGCCTTGCAGGCGTTCATATCTGTGTTTTAATTTCGTGCCAATCCTGGATTATCTTGATCCTGCTTTGAATAACATGGCCCTGGAGGCTCTTTTGTCTGCATCTGTAATATCCTACCGGAAATATATATCCAGGCTGCCTAACGGTAACGAGGAAGGAGGCCTTAGAAGTCAATAACTCGGCATCTCAAGTAACACTGAGCGAGATTATTTTTTCCTGTACTTCTTCCCCGTCTCCTTTAATGGTGTCAGGCCAAAATACTTTCCCGCAAAATGTTTCTTTATCAGTTATTTAAATGCCCACATTTGCACATTGGCAGGGTATCGCTACACTTGCACGTGTCGTTTAAACTACGTTTTGCACTTTTGCTGCCTTTGAAAATGTCATTCTAAGGCTATGTTTACACTTTACATACCGGACTATTGACCGACACCGAAAGCTGTGGTCCGGTATACTTTCGAACATGCATAGCCCGAAAAAGGCATTCGTTTGCCTACAAAATATCTACAAAACGATCCGATAGCATGCTACAGTATACATCTGTTATTTAGTAATATTAACAGTCCTATCTGTACGCCACGAGAAACTTTCTTAGACTTGATAAACTGACTTTTAACTAAAAGTTTCAAAACAGTTTCGCGCACTGAAAACTCAACCGCAAGCCCTTTTTCACTGACCTATAGTAAGCCAGTTCCTGTCGCCAGCGATAACTGGCAGCAAGAGGACAAAGCTGTTAACCTATCCTTGAAATTGAAAACCAGCTAAATGCTACGTTCTTTATTAACAAGTCTCTGAGTTTATAAAATGAAGACAAAACAAAACGGAAAATGACAATGAACCGCTACTGACCATGGCCACTAACTGTCAGATATGTACTGTGCAATCGATAAAACCTTCTTCCCCCTCATTTTCTTAGTTAGTATCCTTCTTCTAGAATTAATTATTTGATTAATTACACTCTTTTTTTTTTTTTCGTGATTTGAAGCTTGATCTAGCTAGTTGATTTTATAACCATTTTAAACTGACCACATGCACGAGGAAAAGCTGTTTGGGTCAGTAATTTAAACGTAGTTTTGTGGCAATGTTTAACAAAACCGCGTTCTAAGCCTTTATCAATTGGCCCAATGGTTTTATCTAAACACTATTTATTGTGAAAAGTTTTATGAAAGCATACAGAGTAGACCAGAAAAGCATTTATCTCCTTAAAATAACCCACTGAGGAAGAAACCTGGAGGTCCAAAGATTTGTTAAACCGCGGCTTAAGTTAAACTTCGTTTAAATAACCGGCCCCTTGTGTTTGAAAATAAATTTTCCTAGTCTCTTTCTCATGTTCAATGCTGGACTTCGTCATTTCTGACACTCTACATGAAAAAAAAATTGCAATTAAGTGAATATTGCACCGCATGTTGAACCTAAGACACTTCATATATCATTTATTGGATTCCTTTAGCCGCCAATTCTTCTTTGACCCTCCGAAGATAGTCTGGATCGGGATAGCCAAACCTTAAACAAAGACAAAACCACGTTAATAGGTAAAAAAGACTGCTTTAAAGCGTCAAGAAAGCTAAGATAATTCCTGTTAGCAATAAGCGAAAGGTACCAAGCCATAGTAAATAGTTACATGAAGCGGGTAGATAGTAGGACGGTTCAAAACATGGTTGGGACTCGATGGATGAATGAATAAAGCGAAGGACGAACGGATGATGGATAAATGAAAGGAAGAAGTGCGGGAGTGATGGATGGATGGATGGATGGATGAATAGATACTATAAAGATAAAAGGATACAATGATACTGGATACTAGGTAAATGCAAAACGAGGAAACAATTGTTAGCGATTGTCGTATCACAGTATTAAACCTCAAACAAAGACTTCCTTAATGACTGCTCGATTCGACGATCGCGAAGTATTTATTTTGCAAAACCTTGCTTCACTTATTGCCGTACAGAACCTTGCAGCGGTGCTTCTCGTAATATATAGGGTACACCTTCACGTCTGCTTGACGTCTGCTTGACGTCTGCTTGGCCCCGGAGACTGGTGACAAGACGTACTCCAGGAAAGCATGTATGCACTATATATGTTGCTTATTCAGAATTTCTTCTTACCCATAAAGACCCCCAGATCTGTTGGTCTTGTGATGAATATCATTCCATATCACTTGATTTGTAAGCCCTGATGTACTGGAGGTGCCCACTGTAAACACCAGTCGAGCATCAAACGCTCTCCTCAAAAGCTGCAGCACCTGTTGTCCTTCACGATTGTCCGGAAGATAAGCAGTGCGTGAAGTACCGTCATAATGCCGACCAGGATTTGGATGTTCTGGACCTTGTAATCCCGACGGCAAGTAATAATTGATGACGATTGTGCCGTAGCCTACAAACGTTTCATATAATGGCAACATTATAGGATATAAACCGACACAGAAGAATATGCAGCAGAATAAGCATATGGTACGTTTGAAACGATACCTACATTGGCAGCACGTATACGTAAATTTATTACATATAAAAGCAGGGTCTATAGCCAGCCGATTGAGACCTGTAGGTCCGGGCCTACAAATTTTTGCTTTGATCACTATACCGCTTGTAATAACTTATGCGTTGTTGAGATGAGCTACAAGCTTAAGAGTTCAAAGTGTTGGTGAGGTCAGTGGGTACTAGTCATGTGTGCAATAGACCAATTTCGATACATTAAAATTCATACTTGGCTGCGAGGCTTGGGGGAATAAAACAAAAGAAATCATCTTGAGGCTCAGCAACGAATAATACATTTTTTTTGTTTTATTCCCCCAAGGCTCGGAGCCAACTATGAATTTTAATATATCGAAAAATGGTCTATTTTCAGGATATGTGGAAATGAAAGTCAGCCGCCGGGCCTACAACTAGTCGAGAAGCTAGCTACGCCCCTGACAAGGACATACCTTTGCCACCAGAGCCAATTTTAGCAACTTTAAATGCGACTTGTTGTTACTGTTGTTGTTTTTAAGTACAAGACAAACGGAAATGTAGTTATAGCGTAAAGTTGGTTTTTCTCGGTATGGAATTTTACCTTCATAGCCTGGAACGCTGTAACGATCAATACTAAATGTCATCTGTCCACGGGGCTGGTTTCCTACCATAACACCTTGAGGCTGTTGACATACCGGGCACTTGTTACACACATTTAAAGTAGCTTGAATGCATTCTGAGCAAAAACTGTGCTTGCACTTCAAACTTCGTGGCCTTGATTTTTTATCAAGACAAATAGGACAGACCTCTGCGAAAAATAAAGGTTATGACCCCAGCTAAATATGAATTGCACTTCTGAAGCGAAAGAACTGCTAGGGATAGGAATATGGGTCGCCTGGATGTGGAATGTTTATCGATAATCATGAAATGAATAAAAGATAGATAGCCATCCGATTCTAGAGTTTCAGAGTAGCTCTGTATTGTTTACTTAAATGTTTGTACATTTTTGTAAAAGTATTTAGTAAGTTTTTAGCTCTCGTCTACCTTTTCATTTGTATGTAAATTGTTTATAAATAATAAATGTAAATGTGTTGAATTTTCCTCTCTAGATTTTGTCAATTTGTAGCTCAGCTATTAACCGGAAACGCTTCTAGATACATGAAGGTGGTACCAGCCCTGTGGAAGTTGTGTATTTTGTTTGTTATAAAAGGGGTTTTGTCCTTAGGAAAAAGCATTACCGCATAAACCTTTCTGTGCCCTCCATCCGCCCGCCCCCTTTTGTCGTCCATCAGCAAGGGGAGCGTAACGGTTTGCGGTGATGCGGTTTTACGGAAATTGTTATTTTAAGTTGCGGTATTGCAATTTAAGTTATACAGACTACCTTCCTCGTTTTTGTCCGCATGGGCTTCACCGCCTCCGTTAAAAGGGATAGAAAATCCACCCCATATGGTTCCTCCATTTCCTTGAGGCTGGTGATCTTGCAACAGATCGTGACTACGTGTATTTCCTTTCACCGCGTTACTGTATGAGTCCGTAGTTGTAAGATGATCAGACGGAATCATCAAGGGATGAACGCTGTTAGCAGCTGAAAAGTCAAAGGAGCTGTTGCCATGATGGCCAATGCCTGTGTCGTTCCTATTTGTAGCGTGACGGTTGTCCCTGCTTTGGCCTCTACCTCGACTGGATCTTGAAGGCGGCACAGCGGAACGACCTCCTTCGGCTCCGGCGGATGAGGGAGAACGACCAGAGGTGTCTCCTCCGGTTTCCTTCTCAAGACTGTACCTTTCAGGGTATACGCCATATCTTTTTTTCAATTCTTCACTGAAAGCCTGTACCGAAGAGTCATCTATATTTACGAACCTTATATCACTGATTTTCTTCTTTTTTGCGTCACCTCGCCTCGCATACTCGTCCACAGCATTAAACATGACTTCGGCGCAGACATCTTTCGGCACCCCATTAATGCCAGAACCGATAGCCGGTAATGCTATAGACGTCATGTTCAGTTTTTCTGTTTCAATAAAACTGTTTAGACAAGCCTGTCGAAGAATCTTCTTACTTTTCTTACCTCCCACGTCATTACACCTCGGTCCAACAGCATGAACAATTGCTTTACAAGGCAGTTTCCCAGAATTGGTGACGACTACTTCGCCATCTTTAAGAAAACCACGAATCCTGATAATCGCCTGTGACTCCTCATTGATTGTTCTTCCTCCCTTGGCCAAAATGGCGGTGGCTACTCCTGCATCGTGTTGAAGTTCCCTATTTGCGGCATTCACGATGACATCAACTCGCTGCTTGGTTATGTCGTCCTTGTAAACAGACAATTTTATCCTTCCACCTAGAAAATATAAAGACACTGACACGAACTTAGCCGTCACAAATTCAAGCACTATGTCTACCCATCCAAAAAGGGTTAAACATGCGTAAATGAAGACAATCATAAATGTAACAAATATTTTGAATTCGATGACTGCAACTATGTTACTACCTTAGAAATTTCTGCATATTCGTTGGCAGAAATCAGTTGTATTTTAGCCTTATTTAAATACCTACGTATATGAATGAAAAATTAAAGAAATATATCTCTCTCTTTTATTTCTAAAAGATCTTTGACATTAATCAGGGTGCCGCTTAAGTGCGTCGCTTGATAAGAGAAAAAACGGACAAGCTTAAATGAAGAGTATTGCCCCCAACTTGAGATATATACCCCAAGATTACAACACTGATCAAAATTTTATACTAACCCAGTATATACGTCTCTAGCTGAGCTGGATCACCACTGGAGGTCTCAGGTGGGTCTGCTTCAACATCTTCAACTTTGCCTTCTGCAACTGATAACAAAGGCTCAGTTGCGTTTGCGACTAACTTTCCCGGTGCGTCTTTCAGGAAGATATCATTTTGAACGTACTTGACCTCCGAGTAACCCAGCTTCGGCATAGCTTCCAAAGGTTGCAAGGGATCAGAGACTTCTCTAAGCTTCTCTTCAAGTACTGCTTTCACGTTTAAAATTTCCGGTAAGTTATTTCGAAGAAGAATCTCCTCTGAAAAGGCTAGGGTGCTTTCTATTTCCATCAGTTTTCCGTCTAACATGGTCATTTGATTGTCGAATGCATTTTTAAAGGCTTGTTTCTGTTTGATTAATTGTTCCGTAACACTTGCTTCGTGCTGGCGAATTGATAATATGCAGAGTTCAGCGACTCGCTTCACTTCTTTTGTCGCTTCTTCGATACTCCCGTTGACTTTCATTCTTCTTTTCTCCAGAGAGACTTTGTAACTTCTCAAACGACACCCGTTTTCCTGAGCTTCGTGAACTTTGATGTCAATTTCAGACTTGATGTTTTCAAGTCCTTGGTCAAGCGCAATCTTGTTGTGATCTTGATGTTCCAAAATGGCGCAGTCACGGCAAATGCACCTTTTGCAATTTTCGCAGTAAAACCTCATTTCATCTATATGTACTGTACAATAGTTTGCCCGGCGAGCATAATCTTGCACATCGCAGGACTGGAAGTTACCGATATCTTTTACATGGTGGCCACTGAAAATTTTTCCCTTCTTATGGACACCCACGCAGTCATCGCATAAAAAGCTGTTGCATTCAAAGCAATAAAATTTCAAAGCTTTCTTTTCGTCGCACAATCCACATTGAGGCGAATCTTCTTTCCCTTGGCCGCTGTAAGCCTCCACTATTTCCACCATCTGCTTGTAAAAAAGGTTGGATGGGAGGCTGTTAATGTTGCTGTTAGGACACTCGGTGATTTGACGACATGTCGGGCAGCTTAACTGTTCTTCCCGATGCTGCCGTAACCAAGCTTCCAGACAAGTCTTGCAGAAAGTGTGGAGACATTTCATTATTTTTGGTTCATGGATTTGACTAAACTGTTCCTGGCAAACGGGACATTCCAATTCCTTCTTGACATCATCGAAAAAGCTCTTACTTTGCGCCATTGATTCTAACGTTGGACGGTCGGAGGAAAAGCAATTATACACAAACTGAAGGAAAGCACGATAGCGGAAGTATTAGGTCGGTTCTCGCTCCCAGGTCCTTCTCAATAAACAGTCAAAGACAAATCATGGCTGTCCTCAACTGTGGCTAGTAGTAGCAATTGATCGAAGCAGCCGGTAACTGCATTTCGCCTGAAGTTTCCAGGTTTTGTTATTTTCGTGAAACTTCTTTGGAATGAAAATGGTGACAGCGATTATAAACAAGCGATTATAATGATTGTCTTACTGAATGCGCGATTATATAGTAAGCTAGATTTATTTTCTAAGACCGCGATTTACTGATTATATTCATCCACTTAATATCGCACAAAAGTCTTGTCATACAAAATCGCAAGCCTGCCTTAAATAAATGATGAAGCGGCTTATTTCATCTTAAAAGCCGAAGTAATTGCATACTGTACCAAGTAATTGCAACCGTATGGATGGCACTTAGTACTACTTAGGAAGACGAACTGACCTAATTCCTTACCCATAAGGACCCCCAGATCTGTTGGTCTTGTGATGAATATCATTCCATATCACTTGATTTGAAAGCCCTGTTGTATTTGATGTACCCACTGTAAACTGCACCAGTCGAGCATCAAACGCTCTCCTCAAAACCTGCAGCACCTCTCGTCCTTCATGATTGTCTGGGAGATAAGCAGTGCGTGATGTACCTTGATAATGCTGACCAGGGTTTGGATGTCCCGAGCCTTGTACTCCGCAGGGAAACTGATAACTGATGACGATTTTCCCGTAGCCTGTAAATGTTACATTTAATAGAGCGTTTAAACATGACATGTCAATCCATATTGATGTTCTAAAACAATGACACTGCGGTCATATCGGTGTATCAGGCAAATCGGCCTGTTGGAGTTCAACTTTTTTTTTTTACCCTTTCGTTTGTTAAAACTCCATACCAGCCGTTCCTTGTTATTCCTTTATTCTTATTACCATACTATACTGATAACCTCCGATACAATTAAATGTATAAAACTTTATATCGAGGATAAACTGAGCAACAACCTTGATACAAAAACATATCTAAGAGAGTTACTCATTAAAATTATAATATGCTTGGAGGAAAATTTTAATGAATAATAAGAACAGATCGGGGCTAAAATACGGCTTTTTTTTTCTCTTTTTTGCCTGTTAAACTTGATTGCAAGCTCCTTGCATATGATCACTCCAATTGCTTTGCTTTCCGCCATCGCTGCCTTGAGAGAACCGGTGAATTTTCCCAGAATTACCGGAAGTCCGTGTTTAACTTTCAGGCTCGTCTCCAGGTTCCTCTTGGTATGAAAACCGGTGGAAATGGAGGACTACGTAGTGGGAACTTTCCCTACGTACTTTCCCTAGGGGGCTATTTTGCTTCTCTCAGCCCGTACTAGTAAAATGGACAAACTAATACAACAAATTTATAATTTACTTCAAACATTAAACCTGAAACCATTGCAAAGAAATCCAGTCGGAGTTGAGCCTATGATCAATTGAAAACTAGTATTTTGTCAGCGGATGACTTCAAAAAAACACACAAACCGGATGGGTCGAAACCTTGGTCTGCGATACGGTCATGTGTTACTGGTCAACGGATATCCTGTTTTGACAGCTGTCAATTGACCACAACATGGATGTGCAATATCAGGTTGCAGGCTCCCACACCACCTGGAAAGTGCGACATTTCACATTGGTTGCCCGGTCATGTGACTACCAAGATTTTTCTCGGATAGATAACAAAATTTTCTTAGCTATGGGCCATGGGGCTCCACTAGCGCGTGGAGCTCTGCTAATGAAAGTCTGTCCTCTATATTTTCAGCCTAAACTATTATGAAGTATATACTACTAATATAGTTCAGAAGCAATTACAAAAGTAATAAAGCACACAGTCAATTTTTTAAGTGGACGCACAAAAGCTGAATATTACGTTTTGTAGATACCTTAGAATGCTAAGCCTCTCATACAGTCGTTCTTCTTCAGGGCTCCCTCCGTGTCGCTTTCCTTCCCTTATTAGAACCTCTGTGTTGGAGGCTAAGCATAATAAACATTAAGGAGGTGGGACCAACGAATATAAAAAAATTCACTTGCGTTATAAGATTCTTTTTCAAAGTCACTTATTGTGCAAGAAAATGAATGATATAATAACAAATTGTAAAGTTATGTTTCAAGTGTGGTAGATCGATCGAAAGGTCCAAAGGTTTTCCCCCCATTATGAGCCCGAGAACGGAAGGAAGGGACGCCTTTCATACACTTTTATTGTGCCTTAAAACAACATGACATCAACAGTATATTAGCCCTGACTGTTAAATTATCTAAAAGTGGGAAGCTGGTAAGTTAAACGCTGATAACTACAAATAAAACTCCGACGTTTCGGCAATGCTGCCTTCATTAGGGAAAATATGTATATCATCAGGAAAAATATGTATATTTTCCTTGATGAAGGCAGCATTGCCGAAACGTCGGAGTTTTATGTACAATTATCAGCGTTTAACTTACCACCTTCCCACTTTTAACACACACAAACGCTACGCAGGAACCCCCCTTTATTTGTTAAATTATCTAAACGAATTCACTGAATTCATATAAATCAAAACAAGAAAGCATTAGCTCATTCTCTCTTGATATAAATCTATCCACGGTATTTAACCTAAGATGACAAAAAACAATTTACAGTAAAAGGATAGAGCGTTCTAAGAGAAAAAAAGTCAAGGAACATTGAGGCTTCATACCGTGTCGTTTTAGGATATCTTAGTTAGTGGAAAAGATGGCAGAGGAACTGGACGAGCGGCTTGGTTACTGAGCTCAGTAGTCATTCGAAGAGCTCGATTATCGCTAATAATGCATGGGTAAAAATTAAATCCAGGTTTCTGTTTATGTTGTTCAAAAGCATTCAATTATCTTTGAATTTTAACTATTTATTTAAGAGCATCCAAACGTGAAATTATTGGCAAAAGTAGTTAACCTGAATTTCCCTTGTAAGCGTTGACATCTGAATTCAAATTTCTCGCTGAAAATGGGTTTCTTAAACAACACAACCCTTAAGGTTATCTTATGCTTGCAACTGAACCGTAGCACCTATCCCATTCGGGGTTACCTAATGCGCGGTAAGTTTGATTTTGACAAGACTAGGTGTAACCTGGCATCTCAAACAGTAGTAAGAGTGTACCGTTGTCAATCACCTTCCTTGTCTGCTTGCAAAATTTCGCCCGCCCAACTAATGTGCTAACGCTGGGCTTGCAGGTGTTCTTTGTCTTGTAAACTGTCTAAAGGTGGGTGCCCTAAATAATCTTCATTCTATATAACCATAATGGTCTACAATTTATAAAAAATGATTTAGTAGCAGTCTACATGCAACGTACACCTATTTTACTGACGACATTATCATGCTGTCAGCTGAACAGTAGTAATTGAACGTTCACGTGTCGCGTAAGAAGGTTTCTCAGTTTCATTAGCGGATTCCTTTAGCTGCCAGCTCTTCTTTAACTCGCCGCAGGTAATCTGGGTCAGGATATCCGAACCTTTAAACAAAACAACATCAGTTTGTAAGGGATGAAGAACTGTGTATTAATGATTCATAATTTGTTACATTATTTCTTAATTGATTGAGTGGCTTTCCTGGGACAATATTTCTTGAAAGCTGTGTACTAAATAACCAATAGCCCTTTCTTTTTTTCATTTGGTTTCCCCTCATTTTTATTATTATAATAACTACTTTAATCAGGCTGGCCCGTCATACATGGTCAAATTCAGGTTTATATTCCTTAATAAAAGCACGTGTAGAAAAAAGGACAAAGGCAAAGGGGAGGGATAAGGGCAAATAAAGCCAAGGAGGCCAATAGTATCAAAGCTTATCCCGGTTTCTGTAGCATGAAGTGCATACGAGAATTGCAACTCAATCCTGGACGGTCCGCCTAGGAGGCTAGTCCATCACAGAGTTATCCTCAGCAGTAACAATTACTGGTATTCAAAACACCTTTCATTAATTTATTGATTCTTGCCTTAAAATGATCCCCTGGTCAGCTAATTTATGTATTCTTACCCACTAGGTCCTCCACTCGTGCTAGTTTTGTGATGAATATCATTCCATACCACCTGATTTGGACGTCCCGTTGTATTTGAAATGCCAACCGTAAACACCAGTCGAGCGTCAAATGCTCTCTTCAGTAGCTGTAGAACCTCATGTCCTTCACGGTTGCCTGGAAGATAAGCTTCTCTTGAAGTACCCTCGTAATGATGGCCAGGGTGTGGATGTTCTGGGCCCTGCATCCCAGATGGAAAGTAATATCTGATGATGATTTTGCCACACCCTGCAAACAGGCAAAGCAGATCCTTTCGTCCGCCAACTCCTCTTTGCGCAAGAATAAATTAGTCAAGCTGTAGTTCAAGAGGTTTTTAAAAAAACTGAGAGCCTACGCACCCATAGAAATTAAAAGTAGTCCGCCCCTCAAATCGCTGCTCTAAACCTTCCTCGATTTTCAAATGGGAGCACTTTGAAATAAAATTGAGCGGGATCAAGTCGATTCATTTTCACTTGGAGAGGAATGCTCGACAACCAAATCGAATGAGAGAGCCTTTATTCAGAGACCCAGCTGTGTTAATCTAAAACAGCAGTCGAGCGACTGGAACTTGATATGTCACTGATATGACGAACTCCACCTTCACCTATTCCCCTTCCAACTAGATATGTTGCGCTACAACCTATTTTTCAGGGCGCCGCCTTGGCTGCTCATTTCTGTGATACAAGAAAGTTAAAGCAACGACGATGGCGACGGAACTAAAAACGTCACTTATGAAGTAAATTTGTGAGGTTATTATCGTCATCATCATCATTATATTATCATTATTATTATTATTTTTTATTATTTTTATTATTATTACAGTACTATTATTATTATTATTATTATTATTATTATTATCATTATTATTATCATTATTATTATTATTATTATTATTATCATTGTTATGTTTTCAATTTTTATAGCGATCACTCCGACTCGATATATTAGTCAACTGAAGGTACATTTTCCTGAAATTCAGCTCTTTTAACTATATCCAATTTCGGACAGAGAAAGAAACTTTTTCCGCATGTAATGGCGATAAAATGAACCAAAAGTGTGACGCCCACGCAGAGTTACCGTCGCTGTTGCTGTTGATTTTTCGGCCTATTACTTTCCTGAACTTCGCGGTGCCACTAACAGTACCGTCGTGTTCGCTGTAGGTCCCTAATGTCGCCAGCGGTTGGTCGTTTGTAAACGAGTTTTAAAATTACCTGGGTAACCTGGGAGACTTCTATATGACTCGTGATAGCTTGTCATTTCTCCTCGTGGCTGGTTTCCTCGAAGAGCTCCTTGAGGTTCTTGACACACGGGGCACCTGTTGTTCACTTTCAGCGCTTGTTGAAGACACACTGAACAAAACACGTGCCGACACTTCAAACGTCGTGGCCCAGTGATATGATCAAGNCTCCTTGAGGTTCTTGACACACGGGGCACCTGTTGTTCACTTTCAGCGCTTGTTGAAGACACACTGAACAAAACACGTGCCGACACTTCAAACGTCGTGGCCCAGTGATATGATCAAGACAAATTGGGCATTTTTCTAAAAAAAAAAAAAAGGAAAACAACCATAGCATTCAGATGTACATTTGTTCACGGCATTTATGATCTTCTTTCACTGATGCAGGCTTAGCCACAACATCACTGAGATTAATCGATTATATCATTCTCTTGATGAGTTCCCTTTCAGTAACATTCCACAGTAAACCTACCTGTTCGTCTTAGTCACGGTTGTTCTTTTCTCATTCTTACTTGTACTGCAAGCTACTGGAAAGGGGTAATTTCACTGTTTAGTTTATACCAACTTAAGGATCTTGTAACTGATTTATCTCGCAAAGATTAACTGATAACAGACTGGTTACTTTCTAAGTCTCGTTTAATATCGCCAGTTGCACCTGTAATGATAGTTGAAACGGGGAGAAGTAATCATGTCAAGAAAGCTGTGATACTAAGTTTGCAATATATTACGATAATATAATGCTAACTTTAATACAAAATTTGATTGTTCGGAGTAAAGGAGACTGAGTGCGCACTGAGGGCAATAAGTACCATGCAGTATAGCGTTTAAGTGTGGTTCTAAAAAATCACTATAGATATTGAAACGACTGAGTATGTGACAAAATCCTGAGAGAAAGTGATCATTACTGAAGTGCACGTGGGCAGTCTGTAGACAATTTTCGTGCGGTCTATAATCGGTCAGGTTTAGATTAGTGTTCGTACTGCACCTTCCAGTAGTTTTGAACTATATTTACTATTCCGAGATATGACCGTCGCGTATTTAGGGTATCATTTACAGTCGAACCTCTCTAATACGGACACCGAAAGGACAGAGCGAAGTGTCCGTATTAGAGAGGTGTCCGTATAAAAGAGGTCACTATAGTTGCATGAAAAAATTGTAACATACAAAGCACAATTCTGAAAGCGTCTTTCGCTATTTTGCAAGTGTAGTAAACAGTAACTAGAGTACAAAATGTAATAGAAAGATCTTTATGCTATCTGTAGTTATTGAAGCCCTCGCAAATCGTTGTTTGGTATACAGCCACTGGGCTTTACATCATCTTCCAAAGCTCATCAGCCAGACTAGACTGGATTCACCCTGTGGAGATTCACCTAATAGGGATTCGGGATTCCCCTGATCACCGCAGTGTCCGTAATAAAGAGGTTAAGTTTATATGAACTTACTGTCTGGGGCCGAGATTTAGTGTCCGTTGTCCGTATTAGAGAGAGTCCGTATCATAGAGGGCTTTTTTTAAAGAAAATATATGAGAATTTTGCCGGGACATTGGAAACTGTCCGTAATAGAGAGGTGTCCGTATTAGAGAGGTTTCCGTACCGAGAGGTTCGACGGGATATAAATTAAAGCGTTTGTACGTAACAAATACCATTTCTACCTTCCTCTTCCTTATCTGCCTTGGCTCCATCAGCTATTGTCGGTGCCTTCCCATACTTCTTGCCCACATTTCGTCTCACTGCACCACTATAAGATGTGGCTGTTGCACTCAAAGGATGATCGTCACGAGCATCAGAACTGCCAGGAGAGTTATTCGTTGAGCCACTACCTTTTGACCCTCTGCCCTAGACTTGCTCACAAGTCGAGCTTTTGAGCGCGTAGCGCGACTGTGAGCGCGAAGCGCGATCGTACGAGCCTCTCCTATCACGATTCGACCTTGACTGCGCCTTGAGGTTGTTACTACTTTCTGTTACAATTTTATTGAAAAATAAGATTTGAAATATGTTCACGTTTTATTTGAATTCAAACATACAGAATTTTTTACTTCTCGCAGAGGTTATTTGCTAAACAACACACGTTAAGTTCCTGGCGTCGGATTTTCAGTAGCAGGTCTAGATCGCGCAAAATTCGGATTTAATCGATTTGAAAGTTTTTTGTTAATTGTTGTCATAGTGATATCGATTTTACTAAAAACGGTATTTTGACCAACTTTAATTCATATAGTCAATCACTGGTGAAAATTTTCTGGCGATCGGACAAGGATAAAATCACTTTTAAGGCGACTGAAAGACATCGGTATGGTCTCTGGAGAAAAACTTATCACAGGAATAATTAAATAAATCCTACTGATGGTTCAAAATAAGCAATGATTAATATGTTTCAAATCATTTTAAATATTTAATTTAAAAGGAATCAATGGTTAATTTGAAGTAGCTTTTGCAATACTGTAATACTTTGTTATAGTCATGCAAATAAAGCTTACTGTTGTTGTTGTTGTTGTTGGTCTTCGAGAAACTGTATCGAGACACCTTGAATGAAGAGTTTTGTCCCGAGTTCTTCGCTTTCAGTTAAATTCATGGCTGGTATACTCGAGGAAAGTTGTATAGTATTATCTTGGACGCGAATGGGTTAAAACTCCAAATGGAGTCAGTTTTCCTCCAAAGATGTCATTGCATTTGGTACGATTTCAAAAACATGGAAAAAACTAAGACTTATCTGATGAATTAGTACGGGCACTAAATGGTAAAAAAACTTATGATATCACGAACTCAAAGTCAAGGGAGGATCAAAATGCAGGGAAGGACATACGTCGTGTGGACCTACTAATAACACCAAGGATGCATCTAAAGTTACCTAAAAGAAAGGCCACCCTGGATTTCGACCTATGTCTTCAGATAACATTTGTGGACGATAAAGCCAGACAACAACCGATATTTCACTTGCCTAGTAAGAAGGTCTCTAGCCGACTACTTGTTGTCTTGACACAGCTGGAGTAGTCATGTGAATCTTCTACCATGAACTGCTGTTGTTCCCTCTTTACTTCCACTCCTTCATGCTCGAGATAAGACTGACTTGCATTCTCCTGCAAAAAGGAATGAGCCTCCTCCACTTGTTTAAAAGCTCCTGACATAATGAAACTCTCCCTTGATTCAATCCACTCGACGCCAGTCCTGGCTTTCATGTCTTTCAAGACAGCTCTGGTTTTTTTGCGGGATAAATATTCCACAAACCTTTATTCAAAGCAAAGGTTTGCAGAAACCACTTCAAAAACCTGTTATTAAAGAAAGACGAAAAGGAGTTAAATATACGATCTAACTCATACTATGCACTCTCCCATAAACTCATTCTGGCACACTGAGACCAAAGGAACATGACATGATGTTGACAGCGTCGCACAATCATTTTTATGTTAGACTTATCTCTCGCCGCTTAAACCACATGGAGCCCAGACCATCATGACTGGATGTTTGGAACAAAATTGATAAGGAAGGAAAGATGCTCAAGCGAAGTTCGGGATTGGACTGAACTGAAAGTAATTTTTGGAGCTTTTCCTTTGGGAAGCCTAGTACAGCCCGCGAGTTTTGAGTCCCTTGTCTTAGTCGTCTTAGCTTAGTGGGTGAGAAACCAAAACATCATAACTTGCTAAAATGGCGTTTATAGGGCAGGAAACAGTAAGAAAACAACACAGACACAACTATTTATGAGGTCTGGACACTTAGATGGCTTTTTATGTGCATTTTAAGCGTTTCATCGATCTTTCGATAAATTCCCATACAAGTTCATACAAAGCCTTATAATTTAGCTTCCAGTGGGCTGTTGTGAGTCTGGGCCCTGTGCTTAAACCTGTTCTGCCAGGGAAAAAGTTCAGTACTATGCATACGGTGAACTAGCACGGTGAAAAACAAGGTATATGCACTGAAATTTTGGTGTTCCATAACATCACCGGTTCAAATCCAATGTTACCACTGTTTTTTAAATTGTGGCCTCTTTTAAAGTAAAAGCGTTATAGGGGCTTTTGGAGTTATGAGGCGACTGCAACTGATTTTAAACCTAAATCACCAGTCGTTTGACCACACACAAAAAAATTCCAAAAGTTAACTATTACCTCAAAGTACTTGTCATTTCTGCTAAGTAAAGTATCTAAATATGGTGCGACTGTTAAAACCATTCCCTCAAATTCCTGTTTATGCTGCAGAAGTGATGAAACAACTAGAAGAGCAGAGTAAAAATCGGGTTAACTGTACACATCATCCAAGTTAATACGGTTTTACACTCGTGAGCCACGTTAAAAGTACGTTTCACAAATAGCAATATTAACAGAAATGGATATGGTACGTAAAGGTTGCCACAACTTTGCCACGGTTGTAAATGCTCAAAATCTCAACATTTAAACACCTTTTAAGGCTGTCGGATACGTTCATAAAGGTTATTCCCGCGGTACCCTCCTAGTATCTGTTTGTAACGATTTCGAACAGGTTTCACCGACTATTTAAACTTTTATATTTTGTACAGAGTTAACCTGCGTGATATTAGCTCTTGATTTGCAGAGTGATCTGATTGGGTGACCAAAATCTATCAAACATTTTTAAAATTCAAGCTCATTACGAAAGTGAAACTGACTTTCTTTGCTTTTAAATCAGGACTGGAATTGTGTCCTGGATCTATCTAGAACAAAATAAATGAAGTTTTTTCACCCTCGCTCATTAATATTAACTTCAATGATCTTTTCCCACTTTTTAATGGAAAAACCTCTATTTTGGAAAAAAAAGAACTTCACCTTGCTCCTTGATGTCTGGTTGATTTTTCACTTCTAAAGTAAATGGACTGCCCATGATCGGGCTTCCTAGTACTTCGACCGACACAGTGAACTTTCCAGGGGTTTTTGGCTTGTAAGAGACTGAATAACGGCCGTCCTTCCAGTCTGTCACAACCGTCTGCAGTGTCTCGTGCCCCGAAAATGAATTGATATTTGCAATGACTTCATCTATCGCACAGTAACTTGTTTGACCTTGTGCATTCTTTGTAGTAACCGTAAAAGTTCCATCCTCGCCTACCAGCCCCTTTGTGAGATTCTTGCCTTCTGCAACTGATAATAAAGGCTCAGTGTCGCTTGTGACTAACTTTCCCGGTGCGTCTTTTAGAAAGATATCATTTTGAATGTACTTGACCTCCGAGTAACCGAGCTTCGGCATAGCTTCCAAAGGTTGGAAGGGAACAGAGACTTCTCTAAGCTTCTCTTCGAGTACTGCTTTGACGTTTAAAATTTCCGGTAAGTTATTTCGAAGAAGAATCTCCTCTGAAAAGGCTAAGGTGCTCTCAATTTCCATGAGTTTACCATCTAACATGGTCATTTGATTGTCAAATGCATTTGTAAAGGCTTGTTCCTGCTTGATTAATTGTTCGGTCACATGCACTTGCTTCGTGCTGGCGAATTGATAATATGCAGAGTTCAGCGATTCGCTTCACTTCTTTTGTCGCTTCTTCGATACTGCCATTTACTTTCATTCTTCTTTTCTCCAGAGAGACTTTGTAACTTCTCAAACGAGACCCGTTTTCCTGAGCTTCATGAACTCTGATGTCAATTTCAGACTTGATGTTTTCAAGTCCCCGGTCAAGCGAAATCTTGTTGTGATCTTGATGTTCCAAAATGGCGCAGTCACGGCAAATGCACCTTTTGCAATTTTCGCAGTAAAACCTCATTTCATCTATATGTACTGTACAATAATTTGCCCTGCGAGCATAATCTTGCACATCGCAGGACTGGAAATTTCTGACATCTTTTACATGGTGGTCGCTAAAAATTTTCCCTTTCTTGTGGACGCCCACGCAGTCATCGCATAAAAAGCTGTTGCATTCAAAGCAGTAAAACTTCAGAGCTTTCTTTTCGTCGCAGGATCCACAATGAGTCAAATCTTCTTCCCCTTGGCCGCTGTAAGCCTCCACTATTTCAACCATCTGCTTGTAAAACAGGTTGGATGGGAGGCTGTTAATGTCGCTGTTAGAGCACTCGGTGATTTGACGACATGTCGGACAACTCAACTGTCCTTCCCGATGCTGCCGTACCCAAGCTTCCAGACAAGTCTTGCAGAAAGTGTGGAGACATTTCAATATTTTTGGTTCATTGATTTGAGTAAAATGTTCCTAGCAAAGACATTCCAATTCTTTTTTGACATCATCAAAAAAGCTCTTACTTTGTGCCATTACTTCTAAAGGTGGTCCTTCTCAATAAACAGTAAGCACGAATCATGCGCTGTCCTCAATAGCACTTGATCAATCAGCCCGTGACTGCATCTCACCTGTTTGTTTTGTTTTTATATATTTCCAAAATACCATACCATGGCAAAAATCAAAGGGACGGAGGAGTCAATCCCCCAGTAGTATAGGAGGGATGTTTTACGCCGTTTTTTTGAGCAGGAATCTCATTAGCGTGAGCAGGAATACGTTAACGTCGCTGACGTCATAACCTTTTGTCTTGATCTCATGAATAAAATGCGCGGGAATCTCATTAACTTGCGGTGGAATCTCATTAAATATATCCAGTTTGACGGGTTTATCAATGATGTCATGTTCTATTTTTATCTTGTGTCGGTCATGGTTGGTATAACCGGTTTGACAGGTTTTAGTTATTTTCGGAAGATGATGTCATATGTATTCCGGGGTACTATGATGTCATAGTTGTTAACTCAAGTCCACGAGTTATCGGAAATAGAACGAAAAAAATTAGAATTTATTGTTGATTTTCAAGGGCAGATCGGGCAGAAAGGGCAGAAAGGGCACCTTTTTAGCCTGTGTTTTTTCCCTGGGCGCGCGTGGAGATCTCGCGTGTAAGTCGTGCGCGTCGAGTCAGGAAACAGGAATCTCATTAAGATAAGGTCATGTGCTATTTTTAGTTGGTTAAGGATTTCTAGTTACTTTAAGGTCGATAAACGTCTTCGTTTTCGATTGGTTAGTTAGAAAATAAGAAACGTTTTTATTGGTTAATTCATACTGTCTGAGGAGCAAAGTCAAACTTGTCTGTGACTTAAAATCACGGAGGCGTAATGTAATTATGCAAGTCCTATTTCCTGCTGCTGTGATTGTCCTAGTTCCGGTTCACTGACTTTTGGCGGGCAAATCGTGCATATTAATGAGGGCAAAGACAAACTAGCTCTT